TTCTAGTTCCCTTGCTTTTATGACTGACTTCCGACTGATTCCACTATCGTTACCATACTGTGCCACCTCATAAACATCACATTTCCCTCCAAGGCAGTGAATTCCTTCTGCCTTACCCGACATGTATTACACCGCAGGGAGCTTCCTATAAGAGCAGGATACCCTTCTGACTGTTCATAACGCACTTATTACCTGAAGAATATGCTTGCGCTCCAACAACAAACCAGAGCAATGTTTTCGTTGTAAAAAATGTATGGGCTTTTTTGTCCTGGAAGGTATCATGGTACTGATATCCAACTACGCAATAACTCAACTTAGCGATTCATCTCGTGGGAGCTAAACACCTTCATTTCGTTGCGAGGCACGATGTACGAATAAGTATTATCAGTATCAGGAAGATGTTCCAGATTAATGGTGGAAACGAGTGCTGATCGTGTGGCTTGGGGCGTGGCAATCGGATGTCTCGTTATTGTCATGGGTGGAGCAGCGTTGGTGGCAAAACTCCATGCGGATCTACTGGAACTCAATGAAATAGCTGAAGTTGAAATTGTCAATTTTCAAGTGAGTTCCGATCTCGACTGCTATTATGAAGTAACTTAACTTCTTTGGCGGGCGGAAGTGGTGTAGTAGTGAGTGGCGCTGCTTACCACGCGCGCGGTCCGCGGATCGAATCCTGGGTGATCCCAGAACCAGATTGATCAACTGCTAATGTTATATCCTTTTATTACCCTTTATCTTCTTTGACACAACCTTGCAATTTACTTTGAAGATATTTGTACGCAAAAAGGCCGGTGTATTTTGTTAGCCAAATTGCGTCCCTCCGAATTTGTGCACGACCAGATTTACATAAATACCCTCCTTTCAAAAAACGAGAAGAGCGTCGGGTGCAGACCATACACCACAAGTGACGACGGCCTCCAAGTAAATCTGGTTAGTAGTGGTTCATAGTGATAGCTGATTTTTGGTAAATGATAGTTGTAATTAGTGACAACTGATAGAATACAACTGCAACAGGCTAATCATTTCATTGGCAGAAAACATTTACATTTTGTGGAGGCCGTCGTCACTTGTGGTGTATGGTCTGCACCCGACGCTCTTCTCGTTTTTTGAAAGGGGGTATGACTGTGTAGATGCTTCTCTGATAATTCATAGAAAGTCCCATGCATTTGCATTGTTGGAAAAGGGATACGTTTCGATCCTTTCGAGCTGATTCGATATGCAGTAGTACCAAGCAGTCCACTTCATTCAGTCTATTTCTATCGTCAACTTCCAAATTCACTTGTGTGACCACTCACAAAGTAGAGGTTATTGTTAGCAGTGACAAACAAATTGATTTACCAGTACATATAGTTGATGCTTGAAATACCGAACTAACCCATGAAATATTGCTATAAGACCGGGGAAGTTCCAAAAAAACGTCAAAAGCTCTCATGCCTTATTCATATGAGTCGTGGGTGTTGGACCAAGCTACCGATCACAGACGAAAATTGTTGCCCCATAACTCTCAGCTAGGCCATTTTACCGCCGAGGTACTACTCTAGATTCAAAGTGGAATAATAGAAATATGCCGTGACTCGAGCACACTAATTTTTAGGCATTATCGCCACACTGCCGCATTCAGGACCTGATGTTGAACACTTAAGCTTGTTGCCCCGGAGAGTTCACGCACGACCCAGGATTTGATCCCCGGACCGCTCGCGTGGTGAGCGCGCCACTTGCCACTACACCACATTCCTCCTTTAATATTATTATTATTATTATTATTATTATTATTATTATTATTATTATTATTATTATTATTATTATTATTATTATTATTATTATTATTATTATTATTATTATTATTATTATTATTATTATTATTATTATTATTATTATTATTATTATTATTATTATTATTATTATTATTATATTATTATTATTATTATTATATTTATTATTATTATTATTATTATTATATTATTATTATTATATTATTATTATTATTATTATTATTATATTATATTAATTATTATTAAATATATCGAATATAAAATAGTAATGTCGAATAATATAATGGAGCAAAATCGATTTGCAGTCTGAACATGAAGTAATATGGAAGGAGGCGTTGAAGCTTGGTGAGAAATTCGGTCGACGAATCGAAAAACGTCAAGTGCACAGTACGTTTTGGAACACATCCTTCTATTATTTATCACGGATCATCACTTTGAGTTTGAAATTTGAAGGTCGCCGTCATGCGGACGAACCATTCCGTTCTATCCCGAGGAAACGTCATCTATACAGCTACCCTCAACCGATGCGTTACCAAGAGGTTCCACGTTATTTCGAGCCCCTGCAACAAGTGCATCTGCCGCAACCACAAGAGCCAGGTGAGTGGTGAATGCCGAGGGAGGGACGAAAAACCAAAGGTATAAAGTTTCTCAAGGAGAAATCGATTGCCGATTCGTCAAGCCCTTCATTACGGGTTAACATACCTCATCAGAACATTTTTGGCTCGTGCCCGTTCAGCCAATTGGTACTCACTACTGTGTCATTATACCTCATTATACCGGGGGGGGGGGGGCAGAAAAAAAGAATATTTTGCCCAGGTCGCACTTCGGCCTTTTTCTTCGCACAGATTGCCGCTAACGGAAATTCCTCAGCAAAATATTCTCTAAATGTCCTTCTATAAGTACACGCAGGCCCTGCCTTCACTACCCCCACCGTCTTCAAAATATGACGTAATCTGTCTCCAGTGTCGCCATGAGGCTCAGGGGGGGCCTTACAGTACTTCATCCTTAAGTTCCTACATGATTTCTGATCGGTTTCAACGAGGGATAGTTTTTCCTCGGGACAACTTAGCTCTAGACCTATGCAGACCCTTCGGAAACCCCGCGCTTCCACAATCGTCATAAACCGTATAACATGTGGAGTGGCAGAACATGCGATTATCAGTCGAGAACCCACTGAGCTCGACCAGAGCACCATGTTTCCGGGGCAAATTTTCCTGATGCCGTCCACGTAGATGGCCACTATGAAGATTTTCTTATGAAATGAAATGCGCTCTTCAATTCTAAGTTGGGAGCACACGCTTTGAGCTGAGCAAAGTGTGATTAAATCCATTTGAGTCTGGAGACAAAATGTCTTTTTTTTTTATTGCCCCTGTATACTACTCACAATCACAACCTCACCATGCCACACTTTCGCAGGCGGGTCCTCTCGTATTTGCCCGCTTACCTTTAGCAACTTTCGCAAGAACCCAAAGTGGAAATTGAATTATAATAGCTGTGACGTCGCTCTGAAATACCCCATTTCTCCTGATTCGCAAATTCGAATGTCGAATTGAATGCCAAATCGCTGAGAAGGTGCAGAGAAGCAGAAAATGACTACCTTGGGGTACATTGCCCCCTTCTTCACAACTGAGAATCGCTCACCCTTTGGAGCAGCAGCTGTTTAACACTTTTGTCCTAAGAAGATTGACCTCAGTCAAGGATTATCGTCAACCAAAAGTACTGTGTTTGAAGGCAGCGATTGCGGTAGGTTTTTAAGGCGAGTTAAGAGGGACGTGGGGTGCCTCAATGGTATGTTAACTGCGAAAAATAAAATCCCTAAAGAATACGCGAAATGGTAACCCCTTGTTTGTCCGTTCATTTTCGACCATGAATGAGCGACAGCCAATAACGAGGCCGTCATCATGCCGGCAAACATCTTTGATTGATAACACATTACTAGGCAGGTTGCAAGACACAGCCGCCAAGTGGGAAACGACCTTCCTAAATGAAAAGTGAACGCCGGACAGTCTCGCCAAATTTCCTGAAACTATTGGGTGTATTGCTTTTGGGTCGGGTGCGCTTTCGAAGCCCTGCTTAGCAACCAGGGCGCCTTTAGTTGTGAAAGCGTGATATCTCGCTTCCTTGGCAGCCGAGCTAATACTCGGAATCCTTCCTCGGGGCACAGAAGCTTTATCGTAATCACTCCTTTTGAGGACCGTTACTCGGTTCATTAGATATGGTACCTCCGCTTGACATGAATAGGCCTTTCCTCAACGAGCTAAAGAAGTGAAGAGCTGGTAGGTCATGGAAACGCGCTACAAAAAAGGAGTTTGCTCTTCTTTAACTTTGTTAAACGACGAAAGAATAAAACGCCGGATGCCGATCAAACTGTTCCTAATACGCGCCATACATTTGACTTCCACTCAATATTATAGTGGCACACCAACGCAGAGAATGGAGACCAGGGGAGAGGAAGGGGCAATTAATTCATAAGTCTATTTTTTCCCATCTGAACAATTACCAGAAACCGGACTGCAAGCGAAAAGTTGAAGAGCGCAGCTGGCGTTACTATTCTCCTCGTTGGGTAACCATTGATTTTGGAGAAATTATTGGAAAGATTATGAAAGGAAAGCTTTCCAATAAGGCTTTTCGGAAACTAATCTTTTCTATTCAGCTCCAACGCGTTTATGGAAGCCAAGCTATGTGCGGAATCAGCTGCAACTGCCCTAGAGGACCACGAGGACCACCAGGACAACCGGGAATTGCTGGCAGTCAGTATTCCATTTCAGACTGTTTGCTTTCCTTTTTACTTTTTTCGATTTTCAGACTGTTTGCTTTCCCTTCTTACCTTTTTTTCCTTTTTTAAGCTCTTTTAGTGCCCTCTGTGCACAGGGTTACATGGTGCAAGAAAGCTCTAGACGTAATTCAAACAAACCGTGCCCCGGTCACGTGTGAGATTTTCCTCTTGGAAGTGCCTTTCATATCTAGCCGCCTCACCTTGAGATCTCACTGACTTCAGTTTCCAGTTTTGCACTTGGATGATACCTCTGTGCAAGTACACACTAAAGGCAGGCATGCTCCAGGGTTAGGCACTACCCGAGTGTAGTAGGCAGGGGTATCGCTCCTTTTGCTGGTTAACCCTGGCGGGATGGGAGCTTTGGTCCAAAAAGCATGCGACCCAGGGTCCGATCCCCGGAGCGTGTGAGTGGTTAGCGGCATCAGCTGTCCGTAAACAACTGCATTTAGCAAAAACAACAAAAATTGGAACTTAGTAACCTTATAGATGACGTTACCACAAAATGATAGAATCAATTATATGTACTAATAAGGAAGTTTATTCCTAGTATACTGACATTTTCAGTACCCGGAGAACCTGGGGTAGACGGACGAAATGGCGAAAATGACAGCACACTGACGAGACACTATTCGGACGCGTGCGCTGTCTGCCCAGCTGGACCACCTGGAATTCGAGGACCACAAGGAGCCGACGGTTGCTTAAAAATTAAAGGCTTTTGAACCTGGACTAGTAACTATAAAGTTCAGGTGAACCTGGCGCTCGAGGTCTTCCTGGCCGACCAGGAATGAGTGGCCGTCCTGGTGTTCCCGGACCCAAAGGTCCTACCGGAGATCCTGGACAACAAGGTACTTCATCTTGGGTAACATTTAGGTTTTTACCGATCTAATTTTCGAAAAATTTAGGACCAGCTGGACCACCTGGACCACCAGGAATCCCTGGAGGATCAGGGGTATCTTATTCACGGGTTCCTGGTCCACCTGGTGCACCAGGAATGGAAGGACCGATGGGACCTATTGGACCACCTGGATATCCTGGAGAACCTGGTGAACCCGGTGATCCGGGACCAATGGGGCTTCCAGGATTAGATGGTGTTCCGGGAGCCCATGGCATATCAGGACTAGTAAGTTCACCAATCAAACTATGAGTATCGATGGTATCTGATTCAATTCTTTCAGACTGGGCCACGAGGTCCGCGTGGAGATGATGGAGAGTACTGTCCGTGTGTGTCAAAGGATAAACGAAGTAATGCTAACCTGAAACTAATAGCGCACTATGAAAAACTGAATAAATAATTGATTTCAATCAATGAATTAAAGTCAGCCATTTACTGTCGTAGTACTTTCTTTCAGAAAGGCGGCCATATTAGGCGATGGGAACCTCTCATAAGTAAAACGTGGGCAGCCATAACAGCTGCCGGGAACGACAGACAAGCACATTGTGCTATCCGTGC